CACACACACGGGGAGGCAAGGCGAGGCGAGGCGAGGCGACTGAGATGCGAGGCTAGACCATGGGGCCAGATGAGACCTCGAGGCGAAGACTTGTGAGACTCGGAGACTCGGGAAGATGAGCACAAAGCCAAGCAAAACAGAGCAGAGTGGGGACAGGAGGGCAACGATGTCAGGCGCTAAGACCAGAAGCACTGAGAAGAAACAAGCGGGGCAGAGAGGATCAGGGAGGCCAAAACAAAAGCCACTTGGTAAAGGAAGGAGAAGAAGCCAAGCACGGGGTAGGCGAGGCAATATGGGGAGCCAATGATGAAGGCCTGCAGTGCTACTTGGGAAAATCTTGTCTAAGCCAATCACAAGTTGCGATGTTCAGGGCCAGCATCCACCTTTCCAAAAGCTTATTGTTTCACAGAGGGGAGGTGTATGAGTGTGCTGGGGAAGCTGGGAGGAGTGAAGGAAGGGGAGGCTGTGGCCCAGATGTATAAGAGAAGAATAAAATAAATAAATAAATAAATAAATGAAACGAAATGAAATCAACCCACCAAAATTGCCTTTCAGTTTCAGTTTGCCTCAATTTATATACACAACGCCGAAATGGATCTCATGTGATGTTGCATTAGGAATAATAATGATTTCCAGGCTGGAGAGACGGCTTCCTGGTTAAGAGCACTGGCTATTATTCCAGAGGACCTGGGTTCAATTCCCAGCAACCACAGGATAGCTCACAACTATAACTCCAGTTTCAGGATCTTCCCACAGACATGGATGCATGTAAAACAGGCAATGTACATAAAAAATAAATAAATCTTGCCAGGCAATGATGACGCTTTAGTCCCAGCACTTGTGAGGAAAAGGCAGGCAGATCTCTGGTCTACAGAGCGAGTTCCAGGACAACCTCCAAAGCAATACAGAGAAACCCTGTCTTGAAAAAACAAAACAAAACAAAACAAAAGCCAAACAATCAAAAATAGAAATAATGATTTCTAGTTGAGCACCAAATTTTTCTCTAGAAAATCAATTTATCCAAGATTATTTTTGTTAGGAAGTATGATATTCCTGTTTTCTCTTCTTTCTTTTTTCTTTCTTTTTTTTTTTTTTCTAGACAGGGTTTCGCTGTGTATCTTTGGAGCCTATCCTGGCTCTCGCTCTGGAGACCAGGCTGGCCTCGAACTCACAGAGATCTGCCTGCCTCTGCCTCCCGAGTGCTGGGATTAAAGGCATGCGCCACCAATGCCCGGCAATGTTCCTGTTTTGAAACTTGTCAATTTATTTATTTGGAAGAATGATATATTGGCACGGTATGGAGGTCTAATTGCTACTTGAGAACTGAGTACATAATCCTTTTTTCTTTTCTTTTTTGGGGGAACAGTCTTTTGTTCTGCAGCCCCGGCTAACCTGGTACTCATGATGAACTCCAGACTGGCCTTGAATTTGAGGTTCTCCTGCCTCATCCTCCCATGCTCTAGGATTGACAAGTAAGTGCCACCATACACAACCTTGTTTCTTTAATCAGAGCTCTTTTCACTGATTTATAGATATTTACTTTTGTTATTAACCATTAGTAACATGGCTTTCAAATACTTTGTTCCAATGTGTAGGTTACATTGTGTTCCTGTTTTATTTTGAGACAGAGTCTAGAAATGCAGCCCTGGCAGGCCTAGAACTACTAGGCAGTCTTCTATGTCCAGACAGTGTGGTAGGCATTACAGACATGCACCATCACACTGCTGCTTGTGTCCTTTGAGGTGCAGAAGTTTGCTTTTGTTTTTAAAGGGGACAGGGCTTAATGTAGTCAATGCTGTAGTTTAAAATGACCTTAAATTGCTGGTTTCTGGCTTCTCTGAACTTTTAGTTTTGTTCTCTGTCTTAATATTATATCTAAGAAATCATTGCCAAGTCTAATGCTGAGAAGTTCCTCTAGTATTTACTTGTTAGCATTTATGGTTTTAAGTGGTATATTTTGATTTTTGATGCACTTTTAATTCCTTGTATTTGAGATTGTGTGCATATTTGTGATGTCTGTGTGTGCTTCCCTGTTTGTGTGCGTGTGTATATAGAGGCGAGACCCCTAGCTACTAGAGATTGATATCAGATGTCTTCCTCAACCACATTGCACCTTTTTTTTTTTTTTTGTGCAAATTAGGAACAAGCTTGTTTCACATATCAATCCCTTCTCCCTTTCCCTCCCCTCATCCCCACTGCTCCTCCCCGACCCCCAACTTACCCTCCACCCATCCACCCTCCACTCCCCAGGCAGGGTAGGGCCCTCAACGGGGGCTCCCCAAAGTCCACCACATCATCCTGGGCAGGGCCTAGGCTGTTCCCCATGTGTCCAGGCCAAGAGTGCATCCCTTCACATGGGATGGGCCGTCAAAGTCCCTTCTTACACCAGGGAAAAATACTAATCCACTACCAAGGCCCCCCCTAGAGTGCAGAGGCCTCCTCATTGACATCCATATTAAGGGGTTCCACCTTATTTTTTGAGACCAGGTCCATCACTGAAGCTCACAGGTCCAGTGACACTGGTTGGCCAGGGCCGCTGAGGTCCACCTGTCTCTGCCTCCCCAGCAATGTTATTATAGATGTATGCCATCCTTCTTTCATGCAGATGCTAGAGATCTGCCTTCAGGTCCTTGTGCTTGTATGGCAAACACTTTACCTACCAAGCCATCTCCCTGGCCCTTGAGTTCATTTTTTTTGTTTGTTTGGTTTGTTTTGTTTTTGGTTTGGTTTGGTTTGGTTTTGGTTTTTCGAGACAAGGTTTCTCTGTGTAGCTTTGGAGCCTGTTCTGGCACTTGCTCTGGAGACCAGGCTAGCCTCAAACTCACAGGTCCACCTGCCTCTGCCTCCCGAGTGCTGGGATTAAAGGCGTTCGCCACCACTGTCTGGCCTGAGTTCATTTTTTATACGATGGAAAATAAGGACCCTACCTCACACTTTTGTATATGCACACGCAGCATAGCCCAAACCCTTTGTTTTTGAAAGGAGTATTCTTTTCTCATTAAGTTGTCTTGGCACTTTAGTTAAAAAAATTACCTGACCACACACATCAGGGTTAATATCTGCGCTGTTTATGCTACCTATACTAACTACTTTCAATGGGAGATTTCTTTTCTTTTTTTTGGGGGGGGTGGTTCGAGACAGGGTTTCTCTATGGCTTTGGAGGCTGTCCTGGAATTAGATCTTGTAGACCAGGCTGGTCTCGAACTCACAGAGATCTGCCTGCCTCTGCCTCAGGAGTGTGGGGATTAAAGGCATGAGCCACCACTGCCCAGCCTTTTTTTGGGGCGTGGGGTGGGGATATTTCTTTCTTTCCATTGATTACTTTTTTTCTGATAAAAAATATTTTTGATTATTTGGGAATTTCACATCATGCACCCTGATCACACTCCTCAGTCTTCCCAGATATGCCCCCCACTTTTATGACATTTTTCCCCCCAAAAAGAAGGAAAAAAACAAAACCAAAACATAAGTCCAATTTTTGTTGCCTATATACTCACTGTAGCATGTCAGTAATAACACATTTCCAAGGGAGCTCCAGGCTCCTGCACACCACCCTGTCCTTTGTGCCTGCTGCTGGGTATGAATATTGTGTTTGTAGGCTTTGGGTAATACACCTGCCCCAGGCTTTCCTTCTCCCAGCAGGGTAAACAGGACATGCTGCAGTCCAGGAGGCTGGCGGCCTAGGGCTACCCTAATCAGCATTGATTTGTTTCTAGGACATGACTTTTGCGCTTGCAGCCTGCTGGCTGAGACTCCTTGGTGAAGGGCATAGATTTGCTGTGCATGGCTCTCTGTTGTGCTATCTTTCTTTCCAATTTCCTGAGTCCACTTTGTAAATGCATCTTCCCACAAGACTTGCCTTTGTTTGTTTGTTTTAGGTTGTTCTGGAGCTACTGCAGGCTCTGAGGACACTGCCGCATTACTCTTGGGGGCCTCCATGGGTCTGTCAGGCTTTTGGAGCTCTGAGTCAGATTTGTCCATCTTTCTTTTTTCCCCTAGGTGGGTGATGTTTTTAAGTTCCAGCTGTATCAAGTTTAATCAACAATTGCTGAGCACTTAAGTCTAATTTTTCCTTCTGTGTGCTATACACCTAGACCAAATACAGAATATTTAAGAGCAAATCGGTACTGTTGTACTTTTACTTCAAATGCTAGGATAAAACTGAAAGGGGATCCTGTGTGCGGGGGGTGGGAGGCATGGAGGATTCCATGACCATCGAGGGTGACCTAGGTGGGGGGACAAACAAGCCAGGCAGACAGAGCTTGAGTGAGAAGTTTTATTAGAACGGAGAAGAAGGGGGAAGGAACGAGAAAAGAGGTAAAGAGACGCAAAGACAGAGGGCAGAAGAGAAGAGGGAGACAGGAGCAGAAAGAGAGAAGAGCGGGGAGAGAAGAGCCGGAAAGAGAGCAGAAAGAGGAGAGCCAGAAAGAGAGCAGAAAAGAGGAGAGCCGGGAAGAGAGCAGAAAGAGCACAGAAAGAGAGCTGAAAAGAGAGCAGAAAGAGTAAAAGAGGAGAGCCGGAAAGAGCAGAAAAAAAGCAAGAGCAAGTGCGCTCGAGTCTTTCTTTTAGAGGGGTCCTTTGCATCTGCATGCAGACTAGTTAGTACTCATGGAACCCTGGACTGACCAGAGTGCTTTCGGCCAGGTGATAGGGTAGGCCAGCATAATGCCTGAATCCTTATAGGTACTATGCGTCAGCTACAGCTGATGGGATGTTTTCCTTCTCCTTGCTCAGAAACTAGAGCTTCACCAAGTTCTCCCTCAAATCATACTACAAAATACCCTCTCAGCCAGGCAGTGGTGGGGAGGAAGAGGCAGGCCAATTCTATGTATTCAAGGCCAGTCTACAGAGCAAGTTCCAGGACAGCCAGGGCTACACAGAGAAACCCTGTCTTGAAAAACCAAAACCAAAACAAACAAACAAAAAAACACCTTTCGCCTTTCCTTCTGTGTTCGAGCGTGAAACCAGAGCAAGTTCCAGGACAGCTAGTGCTACAGAGAAACCCTGTCTTGAAAAAAAAATAAAATAAAGCTCTTTCCTTTCATTCCTCTATGTGGTGTGTAATCCAGGACCTTCTACAAGCCCTCAAATTTCTTTACCAACTATGGCGTCTAACCTCTTGATACTTGCTAAAGCACTATTTTCTGCCAAAAAGTTCTGGCTTTCTAGGTCAAAAGATCGTGCAGACATTTCCAAAGCGCCAACCTCAAAATCTTCGTACAGAACTTCGCTAAGGACCAAAAATCGTCACCATCTGACCAGCATTTCTTGCTACTCTCTTCTGTTTCCAACTTGTCCCTTGTGCCCTCTTGCTGTCAAATGTGATGGAATTTGTTGAATAAACCTGGCATCCACCAGGTGATCAAAGTTCCCATCTCCCACAAGGGATGAACGGTCCCAGGTGCCTGTTCTGCGGTGCACAAAGGATGGGACTTCCCTTCTGTGTCATTTCCTATGTGTGAGCTGTCTGGGGACAGTCTAGTCAAGCAGGAGCTTCTCCCAGTGTTGGGCTTGTGTGTGTTTCTGTGGATCCTCAGAAGCAAGAGCACTGCTGCTCTATGCTCGAGTTTGCTCTGAGGCAGGCCTTCACCCTGTAGCTCAGGCTGAACTTGGAGATGCCCCGCATCAGGCCCCCAGCACCTGGATTGTTGGCATCCCACTATGGTGAGGTCTAGTTGTGCGTGTGGGGAACCCTGGTTTTTAGGAAGGTCTCAAGTGCTGGTTGTACATCCCCGGGGGCTGGGAAACTCCGGATATGCACCTTGGTGTGTTTGGAGTTGCCTGTGCCTTTTCTAAGGTTCTAATTCCTGCTCCTTTCTTCCCGGCTGACAGCCTTGCCTGTGAAAGCTTTGATCTCTGCTCCCCTGTGGATACGTTCCCTTTATAAGGGAAGCAGGGGAGCTGTCATGCTGTGGCTAGCATGACAGGTGACTACCAGAAGTCCCTGTGGCCCGGCTGGCCAGCCTGAATTGTGCTCCTGTACCCACACTGCAGTTATAGGACGCCCCCCCCCCCCCCCCCTCCCGCTCCCCCCTTTCCTTTCTTTCTAGGCGCCTTGGCGCACATGGCGATGGCCCGCCCCTCCCCCACGCCTGCCCGTCCATCCGTCCTTTCTTTCTTTCTTTTTTTCTTCCTTCCTTCCTTCCTTCCTAATTTCCTTCCTTTCTTTCTTTTTCTGGGCAGGCATTTGACAAAAAGCTTCACTGTGCCTGCTACTGGCTCTGCCACCGGGCCACAGGACCAAGCCGTGTCTAGAATTTTTTTTCCGGGTGCTGCAAACATGCCTAACTTTTGCAAAACCCATCTTGCGGTTCCCCAAACCACACCCACATAGTGATGTCATCAAAATTATGGATTAGTGCAGTGTCAGGAAGTCAGGAACCACGGGCTAGCTTATCTGCTGCAAGGAAATGCTGCATTGCAGCAGTAGAGTGTTGCAGGGAGGGGCTATGAGCCCAGGGACGCAGATGTGGAAGCGGGACAATCAGGAGATGAAGGACAGTGGGCTGGCTACCTAGGGAGGTAGAGGCCAGCCTGAGCTGTATCAGACACTGTTGTGTGCAACAAGAAACCACAAAGAGAAAATGCTGAGTTTTCTTGCACTATCCGGTTTATGCAAGGATTTTTTTTTGGAAATGACCTTTAAAAGCAAAAGGGATACTGTTTTGGCACACATTCTTCATCTTCCTCTCGGAGGAGAAACTGTGACCCAGGCTTCTTCCTGTCTTAGTGGGCCGCCCTACCGAAGCAGTGCTATTCCTATGCTGAGGGGTAGACACTGAAGTCTGGTAGACAAGCAACTTTTGTACCCGGAGCCTCATGCTGAGCCAGCTGCAAGAGTCTGTGTGCCTGCCACACTCCTGTGCACATCTCAGTTTCTAATTCCTGGCCTGGTGCAGCTAAATGCGTGTGGAACTGAATGGCCTAACTTCCTTCCCCGCCTCAACTTTTTTCTGTCACTATGCCAGTGTCGTTTAGTGCCTGGCAGCCACCCCTAAGCAGGACAGATTGCAGAAGAAAGAGAGTCTTTGTTTTGTTTTGTTTTCCAGGACAGGGTTTCTTTGTGTAGTCCTGGTTGTCCTGGAACTCACTCTGTGGACCAGGCTGGCCTCAAACTCAAGAGATCTGGTTCCTGAACTGGGATTAAAGGTGCCACCACCACCTGTCAGGAAAGGGAATCTGTTTCCTTGCAATTCATGTACAAATGTTTGGACTATAACGGGAAACTATCTGATGGAAGATCTGCAAGCTACAAATGTAATTTCAGGTTTCTATTTGTCCTGCCTACCCACCCCGTGTGTGTGTGTGTGTGTGTGTGTGTGTGTGTATGAGAGAGAGAGAGAGAGAGAGAGAGAGATAGAGAGAGAGAGAGAGAGAGAGAGAGAGGTGGAGGTGATTTGGTGTGAGATGTGTATTGTGAGTATGGGTACCAACATGCCATGGCTCATAGGTAGAGGTCAGAATAACAATTTCCTGAAGTTGGTTCTCCTTCCATATTGCAGTCCAGAGATGGAACTCAGATTGTCAGGCCGTTTTGGGTTTTGTTTGTTTCTTCCACCTCCTTGTATTTTTCTTCTGTAGCCCAGGTTGGCCTAGAATCACAGTGTCGCGGAGGATAGCTTTGAACTCCTAGTCTTCTTTCCTCTACCTCCCAAGTACTGGGGTCACAGGCATGGATCCCCAAGACCAGCTTGAGTGTCTTAGCAGAGAAAGTGGAATGCAGGAAAGGGCTCAAGGGACAATGTAAGTTTCTTTCAGTACTCCCCAGGTTCCAGTCCTGGCTCCCAAGGAGGACTAGAGATATTTGTCAAGGCTTCAGGAGGCTCTGTTATTGCCAGAATTTACAACTAAGAATAACACAAGTGAAGGCACATACATGCCATGTTTTAAGCATGGTGACAATAAGACAACTTGAGGAAATCTTTTCTCTCCTTCTGTGTTTATGTGGGTTCCAGGGATCAAACATGACAAGATCCTTAATCTGCTTAGCCATCCTATTGGCCCTTGAAAACTTATTAGAAAGAGAGCTCATGCCTCAGTGTGCATGTGGAAGTATAGGAAATATAAGAGAACAACTATCAGGAGTTGGTTCACTCCTTCCACAGTGATTTGCAGGCATTGGACTCCTAGGCTGCTAGGCCTTTGACAAGCATTTTCTTTCTTTCCTTTCTTCCTTCCTTCCTTCCTTCCTTCCTTTCTTCCTTCCTTTCTTTTTTCTGAGGCAGCTTAAATATACATGAGGCAAAAAAAGAGAGGCATCTGACCTGAGCAGAAGGGAGACCTCAGCAGCAGACACAGCGGGAAAGGGGTGTCTTCAAAGGGTGAATTTATACTTGCAGTTCATATAGGAGGTTTGGGGAGTGCAGCTGCCGCAGCTAAGTGCAAGCCAGCAGTTTCCCTTCCCGGGGTTGTTTGTTCAGACAAGGCCATTGTATCTTTAGAAACTGCCTTGGCCCTGGCTATCAGGATTCCGGTCATAATGGGCCTTTGAGTTTGGCAGCGGCAGCGATGTGGAAGGGGAAGGGCTAGAGTTTCAATATAGGGCCTTGGTCAGGGACTGGAAAAGTTTGCTCCAGGGTTATTCTAACAGTGGGTCTCAAGGCAGGAAGGAGCTGGAGGCAGGAGCTGAGTCTTTCAGAAAGGGAGCAATGGAAACCCAAGGCAGGGGCCTGCAGCATGTCTCCAGCAGGTCTTAGGAGCTCCCAGCAGCTGGATGAGTCGAAGTCTTCAGAAGGGCATCTAGGAGTCTGGCACTGGCAAAAGCCAGTGAGCTGGCAGAGAGCTACACTTTGAGGCAGATTGCAGCTATGACAAAGCTGTTTCTATCAACTCAGGCTGCCTTATTGGATGTGTGTGTGTGTGTGTGTGTGTGTGTGTGTGTGTGTGTGTGTGTGGGTGTGTGTGAAAAAGAAA